TATGTGTTTTCTGATGGTCTTAGGCGACCCCTGTGAAAGGGTCTTTTGACCCCCAAAGGGGTCGTGACCCACAGGTTGAGAACCGCTGGTCTGGAATCTCTACCTCTGTCCTGCATTTGGTGAGGACTTCAGCTTCAGCTCCCACCTGCTTTGCCACCAGCACGCCCACAAGGCGGCCAGCTGCTTGGGGTCGGCAGGATGCTCGACCTGGCCAACCACCAGCACATCACACTTGCCAGAAGCCACATGGCTGCCGCAGCAAATGCTTCTGTGGCACTGCCTGTGCACACGGAAGAGAAGCAATGTGCACATTTTTAAAGAAAACTAGCCTGGTAAGTCTTAGAAGGGACCATGTTGGAATGATCTGATTCCAATACTCCTGGGAAATCCAAAGCTTATCAGATATGGAAGGAAAGATTTTAAGAAATCAGTTAAGAGGACTTCCTTCCTTCCTTCCTTCCTTCCTTCCTTCCTTCCTTCCTTCCTTCCTTCCTTCCTTCCTTCCTTCTTTCTTTCATTCTTTCTTCCTAGTGAGGCAATATCTTTAAATTTTTCAGTAAAGTTTCAGCAGACCCTGGAGTGTCTAAAGTCAGGGATCAACTGACAGTAGAATTGACAATAGAATTTAAGAGGCTGATTCCTGAACCTATGTTGATGTATGAAAATGGTTATAATCCCAAGTCTGTTAAAATAAATATTTCCAAATCACCATCATAGAATGAAGCAAGGGCCTTCCATCAGCAGAAAAAGCTGTTATTTTCATAGCTTCCACTTCCTGCAAGAAAGCAATGATTTTTTTTTCCAAAGTAACAGTGTTTTCAGCATCTACAAATAGTAGTTTTATAACTGCTTTGTAACTCTGTATTTGGAGGGGTAACAAAATAAGGTATACACGACAGTGTTTTTATAAATGAACTTCAATTTATAAAAATAACTAACTAATCATGGATTGTGGCAGTTCTGTTTACAAATAATACACCATAATTTATCCAACCAAATTCACTTTTCAGGATATAGAGGCCTGGGAAACTATGCTAAGGGGTAGTGCATTTAACCCATTTACAGTGGAGAGCCATCAAAGGCTTTTGAAAAATAAAATCTCAAGATTACTTTGGAATCTCTGTGTTAATGGGATTAGGATAATGCAGAAGTCACAGCAAGAGATGATAGCTGGGTAACATCAATTTAAAAAAAGAAAGAAATTAAAAAGTGAATTTTGAGGTAAAATTTGCAGGTGTTAGTAACTAAGTGTAAAAGGCACTGATCACATGAGAACACTTTTTCTATTAAGCAGAGAACTTTGGAGCAAGGGTCAAAAGATCATCAGGCTAGTCAATGAAGGAAAAATACCACATGATCTCACTCATTCATGGATAATAGAGACCATTATAAACTTTTGAACAATAATAGATACAGAGGCAGAGCTGCCTCAAACAGATTGTCAAACTGCAGCGGGAAGGCCGGGGAGGGTTGGGGGGCAGGAGGGAAGGGGGTAAGAGATCAACCGAAGGACTTGTATGCATGCATATAAGCATAACCAATGGACATAAGACACTGGGGGGTAGGGGAGGCCCATATGTAATCCCTTTGTAATACTTTAAGCAATAAAAAAATTAAAAAAAAATCATCAGGCTAGAGGAAACATTGAGAGCTAGAATCTGTGGCCCAGAGTCTTAATAGAAGGGAATTTCACAAGTTTTCTTAAGATAATCAATGTTTGAAAATCATTGATGGTTAGAAAGATCAGACAAGCTAAGGAACTGAAAAAGCATTCATCACATGGCCTGAAAGTCATAGTTCCTTCCAACAGAGGGAATTAGCATTTAATGAGTCTCCTCAGAATCTCTGACCCAGCAGTTCAGTTTGTTTAAACAAATTAATGTGTTGAGCACCAGTTATGTATTAGGTGACAAAGACATAACAATAACTAAGACAAGTTATCTTGTCTGTCCTCACAGAGTTAACAGTTCAAAAGCATCCTGATGATGGGTCCAGTTGGTCTTTGTTGCTGTCTTTAGTCTGGACACCCCTGACATGCTGCAGGCCAGGATAGATGGTTTTCTCTATTCTCAAAGTCCTTCGACATATCTCTTGGACAGCATATGAGCCCTCAAAAAAGCTTAGCATACACACATTTGCCTCCGGCCCAAAACATCAATGCTGAGAGAGAACCACCGATTGGTTGCCCCCTGCATGATCCGGGATCAAGCCCACAACCGACCTGGAATCAAACAGCAACACCCCCACCCTCCCATCCCATTCATAGGTCTATGCTCAACCACTGTGCCACCGCAGCTGGGCCTCAGTTGTATTTCAGCTCCAGGTCCAGAAAAGCAGCAAAACCAGACAAGTGATCCCATGGCTAACCTCAGGACCAGCTGCCAATCAATCAGTGGAGACCACAACATTGAATCAGAAGAGGCATTTTTCTAATTAAAATATGTCTATTAGGAGGTCCCCAGTATGGAACCCTCAAAAAGAGCCCCATATTCAGAGGACGGACGCTTTTTTTGGACCTTATGTTTACCGTTTTTCTGGACCTTATATTTCTTCCTCAGCAAACATTTGTAGGGAACGGAAATCTTGGATAGTGAGCAAGGAGCCGGTGGATTAGAAAATAGAGAAATGTTCTGTGCCCATCCTCCCCAACACCAGGCTTCTTATGTTGGTCAGGCTTCACCTGGGAGAAGAGCAAAACGCTAAATTAAATTAGAATTTAACTATTACACTGGACTGAATTGAAATAATGTGGCTGCTGTATTGAATTAGACCCGTAGTGTTTAAAAACAAAGGGACCCTAGCTGGTTTGGCTCAGTGGATAGAGCGTCGGCCTGCGGACTCAAGGGTCCCAGGTTCGATTCCAGTCAAGGGCATGTACCTTGGTTGTGGGCACATCCCCAGTGGGGAGTGTGCAAGAGGCAGCTGATCGGTGTTTGTCTCTTATCGATGTTTCTAACTTTCTATCCCTCTCCTTTCCTCTCTGTAAAAAATCAATAAAATATATTTTAAAAAAAAACCAACAAAGGGAATATTTGCTTATGATCTAAGAGAAACAACAACAATAACTCTCTAATGTGTGAGTTTCCATCCAGGAGTAAAAAAATGAAATATTCCCAGAGAAGGTTTTAAAGTCCAATAAAAACATGAAATAAAGTTAGTTTCTTCTTATAGTGTTATTAAGTCCTGGTCATTCCATATACCAGTTAAGAAAAAAATTAGAATAAATGATCTGACAAATGGTTGTTAGGTATTTCTTAGATGTTTGCTTTTTAACTTATAAATTAAGATGTATGAAAACTCTATCCTAAAACCTATTTAATTTCTGTATTTTTCTTTTGAAAAAAATTTTAATGTTCATAGTAATATATTTTCATCAAAAGTAATTTGTGGTGGGGGTAAGGGGTAGGGATCAACCGAAGGATTTGTATGCATGCATATAAGCATAGCTTTTTAACTAAATTAAGATGTATGAAAACTCTATCCTAAAACCTATTTAATTTCTGTATTTTTCTTTTGAAAAAAATTTTAATGTTCATCATAATATATTTTCATCAAAAGTAATTTGTGGTGGGGGTAAGGGGTAGGGATCAACCGAAGGATTTGTATGCATGCATATAAGCATAACCAATGCACACAGACACCAGGAAGGGTGAGGTCATGGGGGGGG